ATACAGGTTATCTCCCGTCAAATATTCTGGTGCTTGGTAGTTGTCCAAAGCGCCCTTCAAAGACCGGACTTGGGCATTGCATGTGACTGATATGTTACGGTACGACTCCTGTCTCCGGCATATACTATCACACCCTGTGCAAATGTATTGCCTCTCCAGCTTACCGGTAAACAACATATCATAGCAATATGACGCATCCATCAAGAAATCAAAAAACTCCAATGCGTCCTGCTGATCTGTCGCATTCCAGTATGAGCTGACCTTGTTCGCATTTCGCAGCATCTAAAACAAACCAATCATGAGCAGCAAAGTAATACATGTATCACAACGGTGTCCACAACGGTGTCCACAACGGTGTCCACAACGGTGTCCACAACGGTGTTCACAACGGTGTCCACAACGGTGTCCACAACGGTGTCCACAACGGTGTCCACAACGGTGTTCACGACATTAACCAACGGCAGGGTGGGAGTGAGGCAGGGTGGGAGTGAGGCAGGGTGGGAGTGAGGCAGGGTCGGAGTAAAGGCTTACAGCTTTTGGACTGACGCTGCTGCGTCGAGTGGTATGCATGTTATTGAGCAGATCGGTTAGCGACTCACACAAGGGGCTCATGCCCCCTTTGGCTCGTTGCTCCAGAACCTTCTTGCGCATCGCCGGTACGGCCCCGAGCGCCTGGGTCACCGAGGAGAGATAGCAAGTACAGCCGAGGTTGTAGAGCCCGCAGAAGGGCGTCTTGTTGGCTTTCACGCTCTTCTCATCCTTTAAGGATACCTGGTTACCCATACAGCGGCTATCACTAGAGCCAAGACTTTTCCAAAAAATAATACATCTACACGTGGGTTATAGACCGGGGGGCGGGTCCTCGGTGCTGTTTTTTTAGGGCCACTTTCGCTACGTTGCATTAAGACGTTAAGGGTGGCTCGACACTCACTACAGCACGGCACATTAGAAACAACACGTTGGAGACATGCATGACCACTGTCACTGTTGCATGACTACTGTCACTGTTGCGACTACTGTCACTGTTGCGACTACTGTCACTGTTGGCTGGGGGTCAAGAGCCATGGCTGGGATTATTCGTGTCACTGCTAAGCAGACAAAAAACTAACTATTTACAATCCTCGGCTCGGTGCTCCGGCTCGACTGGGGGTGCCTTAAACCTGGCTGGAGTTGTAGGAGACAACACGCTTGCGCATTAGAATATCTTTCCATTTTTGAGCGAGTGTTGTGAACCTGGTTTCGAGAGTGGATGTGAATCCTTCTGGTTGATTGATGTTGGTAATGAGATTGCGGATGTCTACCTCTCCTTTCAAACCTGTCCAGAAAGATTTATTATCGGTCTTTAATTGCCGGATGGCCATGTCTCTGAGCTCCTGTCTGGTGTTCCAGAAGAGAGTTGCGTAGGTGGGGTAGAGTCCGTAGGCGTGTGCTAAAGAGAGTCGCACATCCGCTGCATCCAGCTTCTGGCAGAACCTCATAAAATCCTCATCCTCGCAATTTCCGCCTTTGAGCTGGAAGTCCTCGATGTCTTGCTGTAGCATCGGGCCAATCTCAATCCTAGCCAACTCCTCGTTCAAAAGCTCGTCCAACTCCTGGCACCACTTTACATCCGAAGTCGCACTGAACGATTTCATCACCGGCTCGTGGACGTCCCCCTTCGCAACATTCAACCCATACTGGAGACGATCCGCCAACCCGTAACGGCACACCATGGCGTAACCCATCGAACCCCAAATCCCTTCCAGGCTCACGCCTCCGTTCACAGCCGGCTCCTGCATAAACAACGCGCCCTCCAACGAACTCAAATCTCTACTCGAGCCTCCTACCGAACCACGCTGTTGCTGAGACGCACCCATCTTTGATCTACTGGTCAACTTCTGTGCCAACTCACTCATCACTTGATCCATAGCCGTAGTTTGCTCTGACTCCGGCCTCAACTTCGCCCACGACGCCTGTTTCCCAATAGCGCCTCCTTTCAATTGATCCATCGGTGGAGGAGGAGGAGGCGATGGCGGCACGGAAGTATCCCGCTTGTCCTCGAGCTGATCGCCTTCGACCTCGAGCTGATCGCCTTCGACCTTGAGCTGATCGCCTTCGACCTTGAGCTGATCGCCTTCGACCTTGAGCTGATCGCCTTTGACCTTGAGCTGATCGCCCGTTCCTCGGTCGCCGACTTGCTGGCTCGGGTTGTGCACTCGCTGGTCTCTGTGGATTGGCGTTGACACCAGCCTCGAACGCCGCTCCACGGTTTCCGACACAGCAGGCTTTTCGTAAATTGGCTGTGCCCCCACAGGCTCCGACACAGCTACTGGAAAATACGGGACCCGTGTGCGCAGCACCTTCGCTGAAACGGGAGGCATCGAAGGCGGCGGAGGCGGCGGGGGCGGCGGGGGCGGGGAGGGCGGGAAGGCAGTCTCCGCAGTCATGGTCTCTGTGGTGGTTTCTACGACTGGCGTGGTTATGGTATTTGTGGTGGTGGTTTCTACGACTGGCGTGGCCACATCGAGTAGATCTTCGGAGAACCTTCTGGCATATCTCCTGCCATCAAGGCCTTCACCGAAACCTCGACCAAGGGTTCCACCAAAGCCTCCACCAAAGCCTCCACCAAAGCCTCCACCAAAGCCTCCACCAAATCCTCCGCCAAATCCTCGACCAAATCCTCCGCCAAATCCTCGACCAAAGCCAAGACCTCCATTCTGGACCAGATGTCCGGTCTGGACACGGCTCGGATATAGAGTGCCATTTTCAACGGTGTAGCGATTGTTACCGGGGACCCGTTTCCGTTTCGGGATGACGGCTTGGGCCTCCAGTATTTGCAGAATTCGGACCTTGAGGCGTTGCAGTTCCTCTCGATGGTCGGGATACTTGCCCATGTACCAGTCCACCAGGCTGACCGTAAGTTTGTTCCCGAGGACATCCGGCTGAATGCTTTCCGCCCTCACGTAGGCGAGGACCTGCTCCAAAGACAACGTGGGAGGCTTCGTTGCCCGTCCCAACGGCAATGTGGGGAGCTTTGTGGCCAAAGACGGCGACGACAGCGAGAGCTCCCTATAGTTGGCCCCAGCCAAAGGACAACGGCTTGGGGCTTGCAGGCACCGACACTGCAGACCAGTTTCAACCATCAGACATACCATCGAATATTGATTTTCCACTTCACTCCGGATCCCCTTCATGATCCCGATTTATTGACAATATTTTTAAATATCGCCCCGTCCCCCCGGTTCCGTAACAAACCGTTTTTGGTCGATAGCGGCCCAGAAAATGTCTGGAACAATCGTCGCCGAGTGAGTGGTGGGAGGATTGGGTACTGGCGGGGTT